TTTTTACTCTCTGGATCAGGTTCAAATGCATAGATTTGGACGGAAATGGGGTTCTGACAAAGAATGAAATGCAATTCTTTTACGAGGAGCAGTTGCACCGAATGGAATGCATGTCCCAAGAGCCGGTACTTTTTGAGGATATTTTGTGCCAAATAATTGACATGATTAATCCGGAGGTACTTTTCCATTTGTATTTCATTTTTTTTTCTTAGGGGAAGGACGAGGAGTCCAAATCTATGGATTCCATTGCGCCTATGGTTGTATATGCTATGTATAGCCTTTTTTTTAAGTTGCAAATGGTAGATAGACTTGGAGTGAGAAACCAATGAATTTTTATAAATTTGATTGAAAGGTGTTATTTTTTCCCAATTGACAAATCAAAGCATCTTTTCTTTAACCCTTGACCAACTCTATCAACCACCCCCATCGTGAACCATTTCATCCACTTCCGGTCACCCCAACTACTACCGTCATCACTGAGTACTACAACAACTAAGCAAAATTCCAATTCCCTTGGGGTCTAGGGTCAAGAAGTACTCCCCTCATGGTGCCTCCTTGTGTGTAAAAGTCTATCACTACAACAAAAACCAAGCCTTTATCCCAAATCAATGGTTGTGCAACATGAGTCTATAGAAAATTTCCTAGGCTTTATCGTTGCTCTTGAATTTATTTTATCATCATCATGTCCGTATATATAACATTGTCGGTAGAAAATTGAAGTTTTATGTTGATCCATTGTCTAATATTAAAAGATACTATGTATTATGAATTCACATGCAAAAAACAATTAGTGATCATGTTGCAAATATATTACAAAAAAACAGTTTTGCATGAATGTTTAGTGTGCACAGATTTTAGACAATAATTAAGCACTATAAATTTCATGTTGTAGACACTACAAAGCTGGGCCTGCTAGAGATTTAAGCATTCTGTTGCCCTCTTATTTTTTCTGAAACACATAGGTGCATGCTATTTGAAGCTTTGGAAATGCTCACCCCCACCCCCGTGGGGACTGTAACCCAAATGAAAAAAAGACTAGAAATGAAATGAAGAAAGCTACTCTTTCAAAGTTACTGCCCAAATATATTTCCCTCTAACCCAAATGAAAAAACAGAAATGAAAAGAAGCCATTCTTTCATTGGACATCCGTTGCTTCTTATGGAGTACTTTCTAATGCATCAATGGTCTAAAAGAAAGTGTCGTTGTATTTGTTTGAAGGGTTAAAGTTGTGTACTTCTTGACCCTAGACCCCAAGGGAATTGGAGTTTTGCTTAGTTGTTGTAGTACTCAGTGATGACGGTAGTAGTTGGGGTGACCGGAAGTGGATGAAATGGTTCACGATGGGGGTGGTTGATAGAGTTGGTCAAGGGTTAAAGAAAAGATGCTTTGATTTGTCAATTGGGAAAAAATAACACCTTTCAATCAAATTTATAAAAATTCATTGGTTTCTCACTCCAAGTCTATCTACCATTTGTCTAGTTGGCAAATCACTGGTGTGACTATGTGTAACACCCACTATTCATTGGCTGCAGAATGAGAGTTGTATCACATTACATGACTTGAAGGGCAGTAAACTTTCTGGCAGTGTTTTCAATATTCTTTTTANATTCTAACATTGAACTTCCGTTGCTTCTTATGGAGTACTTTCTAATGCATCAAAGGTCTAAAAGAAACAGTGGCGTTGTATTTGATTGAAGGGTTAAAGTTGTGTACTTCTTGACCCTAGACCCCAAGGGAGTTGGAGTTTTGCTTAGTTGTTGTAGTACTCAGTGATGACGGTAGTAGTTGGGGTGACCGGAAGTGGATGAAATGGTTCACGATGGGGGTGGTTGATAGAGTTGGTCAAGGGTTAAAGAAAAGATGCTTTGATTTGTCAATTGGGAAAAAATAACACCTTTCAATCAAATTTATAAAAATTCATTGGTTTCTCACTCCAAGTCTATCTACCATTTGTCTAGTTGGCAAATCACTGGTGTGACTATGTGTAACACCCACTATTCATTGGTTGCAGAATGAGAGTTGTATCACATTACATGACTTGAAGGGCAGTAAACTTTCTGGCAGTGTTTTCAATATTCTTTTTAACCTCAACAAATTCATGGCATTTGAGACTCGTGATCCTTTCCTTATTCGCCAGGTATTAGCAATCAGTAATGTTGTGTGCCATTTATGAAAGTGATTGAGTGTCTGGCATTTAAATTTCCAATCTTAAAGTTGTGACTTTGTTAGTTTTTTATGTTCTTTCACAGGAGCGGGAGAATCCACATTTAACTGAGTGGGACCGGTTTGCACGCAGAGAATATATTAGGCTTTCAATGGAGGAAGATGCTGAGGATGCATCCAATGGAAGTGCTGATGTTTGGGATGAATCTGTTGAATCTCCCTTTTGAACTTTTGTTTGTTCGCTACACTGAGGTATGTAGTTTTACATGTTTCAGTAAGATTCTTGCAAATAAATTTAAGGCTCAGCTGTTGTGGCTCTTAAACCACTGAAATCAAAAGATGCTTTCGAACAACAATACTCAGGTTTTTGACAACATTATTTGGTTTTTCGTTAAAAAATCGTCTCACAGCACTTTTTCATGTTTATCATAAAATATCATACTTTGTTTCTAATGCTTAGGACTTTTCATTCACAGTCCAGCATCCCAAATTGGCCCTAAACATTGAACCAAAAAAGCCATTAATCTGATATCATTTGAGAAATAAAATAAATGAAGTGACAGAAAGAGATTGGTTTGTACACTCTCTGTTTTGTTTCTAAATACTAAAAAGCATGTTTGGTAGGTCTGTTTTTTATACATGGTTTGCATTATTAATTTTGAGATCCTAAATGTTTACATGAATAGAGTCAAAATTTTAGTTTCTTCTTTGAAAACACTGAAAACATCAAATTCTTGTTACCAACAATAACAATAAACATAGTATAATCCCAACAACTCTGTTGGGGGTGGGGTGGAGGTCAAGATGTATGCAATAATTGAAGCATTTTCTGTTAGACCATTGATGCATGGCTGCATTTACTTGCCAAAACTTCATAGAAATTAAGAAGCAATGGGAGTTTAATGTGCCATTATGATTTAGTACATTATTTAGCTGAAACTTAAACATTATTTTAAAAAATGACACTCTTTAGCTCCATTGGCAATAGATTAATACTTGTTACCATCAACTTAAAGTTCTGTTTTTTTTGTCAGAGCTGAAAACAAAAACCAATACAATCATACTCATTACACTGTTCTTAATTTAAACATAAGACATTACCAAGTGACACACATCCTTCCTGTAAAATATTTTGATTAAATGGCAATATTACATTGTTTTCAACTTCCACTAGGTACGCAGAATCTTGTTTGGCCCCGGGCTCTGAGGATTGAATGTCAGAATTTTGCACGGCCCATTGATCGCGGGGTTGGTTACTGGATCTGCATGTTCCTGAAGAAGAAGAAAAAAAGGGTTGCTTGTGAGTGATTGTGACATAACTACTGATCATTTCATCTATATGCAGAAGTGGGAAGCTCAGACTTGAATAATTTCATCTACTGGCCAGTCTCTTGGCAAGCTCATAGTTGCAGTGTGATGAAACAAAAGCCATTTCTGCATATCTACAACTTACAAAGCTTTGGCGTTTCTCCCACCTGTAAGGAACCTTCATTTTTACTTGTTCCAGATCACATTTAGTTTTCCAATTACTCTTGAGGGGATTTGTTGTTTTTTTGTTTGTTTTTGTTTTTGTTTTGTTTTGTTTCACAGATTCATTTGATCAACTGATTTGATGTTTTATTGTTTCAACCCAATGTAATGATGTATAAAGGAGGTCTATGGTTCTGCAAACTAAATAAATAAATTTTTAATTATTTTGAAATCAATCAAGAAGTGTGGATACAAGAAAGGAAGATTTTATTGAGCAAATAAATCTTTCACCGACTGAAATTGATAGCCATGTGCTCTCCTCCTCGGCGTCATCATCATCATTATATTCGGTATTAAGTACTCCCTAGGTCTCTAAAAGACCATCACAGTTTGACTTTTTTTTGTCAAATTGTGATATCTTTTGACCATAAATTTAATATAGTTTAAAATTACATTTTATAAAAATTTGATATTTTAAAATTATATTTTAAAATAAATCTAATTCTATTAACTTTATATTATAACTAAATACTTTTTTTAATGTGTAGTTAAAAGTGTCACAGTTTGACTAAAAAGTCAAACTATGACAATCTTTTAGGTATTACTCCATGTTGTTATTGTTGTTGTTGTTGTTGTTATTATTATTAAAGTTAATTTCTCTCGCTGTGTACTACTTCCTCTCAAATTAAAACTTCAATTCACATGATATAAAATTTAAGTAATAGTGTTGAAGAGTGAAAAGTATGGCTATACTTGATATTAAAGAGAAATAATGTTGGTCACATCTCCCTGCTAAAAAGGAAAAAGTCTCATTTATTTTGGCAGAGTATATAAAGTAAAGTCATAATTGTATTGGCTCACATATTGGTATGAACTAGATTGTGTGTAGTGTATTTTTTGACTTTTGTATCCATACTCAATATTTCGTACCAGGTTTTAGATAAAAGGTCATTTTCTTATATCCAAGTTCATTGAAAATATTTACCAGGTAAATCGAATTTTGATTTTAGAATCATTAAAGAGCGTGAGGTGTCTCTATTACTTGCAAGGATTGTGTATGGTATGTATGGATGACAATGCATCTTTCATAGATGTTGGGAGAAATCAAATGCGGTTATTACTTGTTAAATGATCTCTTTTTTCTCCAATTCTAAAATATTTTTCTGTTCTTCCACAATAGAATTTCCTTGTTTACAAACGTCAATTCAGAAAAAACTTTTAGGGACTGGATTATTTTAAACTCATTTCTGCCTCTACTATTGTGGTTATGTCATCGACTTTTCGATAACTAATTGCTCGGTCTTCAGCGAAGTTGCGACTAGGTTTATGACTAGCCATTGCCTTCTTCACGTCGTTGGATATGCATCGACTATCCATGAAACCATCGACTAACCATTCAAAGAGGCAACCCGACCCAACCCAAATCCAAATTTTGTCTCCTTTGTCGATTGATGAGCCACTCTTGGGGTGGGGTCAATTTGATTTTTACGTGAAGTTGATAAGTAAACTGAAACTAGAAATTTAGTTTGACTCAATTTTACATAAAAATACGTGAAAAGCATTTATTATTTGATTTGATTTTTTCAAATTTTCCATTTAAAAAAATCTTAAACAAAAAACTAAATATGTATTGTAAACAAATTTAGAACTTTTTTAATAAAGTAACAATATCAAAATTATACATAAATATGAAAAAAACTTTAATGAAATCAAAATAAGGAAGAAATACTAATCTAAGACTAAAACATACGGAGTATTTTATATATCAAAATAGAACCTCCAATGTTTTTATATTCCAGAATATGACCTAAATAATATCAACACATAATTCAAAAAAATATGAAAGACCGACACATAATGTCATGTTGCGGCATTTAGAGTGCCAACTCTTCTACTTAAACCTTCTTGGGAAATAGTATTTTCAATTAGCGTTAGTGTTTTGGATAATTATTTATTCGTGTCAATTAATTATAAATATACTTAAGGTAAACACTGTCACTTGATAATGTTTTCAAAACGTTAAGTTGTTGGCAAATAGACGACTCTTAGGGCATTAAATAGAAAAAAGACCAAAATAAAAATAAAACGTGTGAAGTAAAAAGTAATAAACTAAGATATATATATATATATATATATATATATATATATATATATATATTTCTATGCCTAAAATAAAATTACAATGTCAACGTATAATATGTGTAAAGTTCTCATTTCATTTTTGTGTTGTATCAAAAAAAGTCCTTATTCATACTCCTAAACTTACCCCATATAATGTCAGTTTGAGTCATGTTACAAGTTCACCAAATTTAGACACCAAGAATTTGCAAACAATTGTTTCACTGGTATATACATAAAACCATTATCTGTGAAGCATAAACAATCATAGTCTATGCATGTTTTAAAACACTTGATATCAAATTTCTTTTACCAATTTTGGTGGGTTTTTTTACTTTCCAAAAAACAATTGGTGGGTTTTTTAGGAGTAGTTTTTTTGTTTTAGTTTTGGTACCATTGGGGCAAACTCCCAAAACCCGACAATCTCGGCCTAAAGGCTGCGTTCAATCGGCCCGGTTCCATGGCCACTGGATTCCAGTGGCCACGGAAGACACTGCCCCGCTACGAAGCTTCGTTCATAAAATTGATGATTCCTACCCCCTAACCCCCCCGATAATCCCCCCGCCAAGTCCTGACCCAAACTCACCCCCACCTACGTCAATTGCACCTCATAAGTATAAGGGAGATGCGTTTTGTGCAATTGAAAATTTAGCTACTTATAATTAATTTATTTATCTATACTTTAAAATGGAATCTTGCACTGAAAATTTAACATCATTTCTAATAAAACTTGGGACTCACTACTGGACATGTTCTACATGCCCTAATCCCTTGACAAGGTAAATTGAAATGAAAGGCATATCGGTGTCGTTTCGCAGTTGGTAAAAGCAAAGTGTGTAGGGGTAAAACTTGAGTTTTATTCTTGGAAATTGCGTTGGAAATCAACTATGTTAAGTATAGAGTCTTTGTAAGTACGAGGTGTAAACTTTCTTTTTTGCCACCAATCTGCGATAAAAATCTAAGGCCTGTTTGAGAATAACGTTAGAGATTAGCGTCGGCGTTTTGGATAAAATTTCAACGTTGCAGATTACTTTGAAAACGCTAACGCTAAACGCTGCTCGTAGATAACTTTTTCAAAATGCTAACGTTATTCGCTAACGCTATTTCCAAACAAACTCGTAATCTATGATTATCTAACCGGGTTTGAAAAGTCCTGGGATGGGGCTTTATCTTTTTTTTTTTTTTTTTGAAATGAAAGGCATATGGGTGCATCAATGTCAATGTCAGGCATCGGCGGAGGATGGACAAAGCGCTTGGGGAGGCGTTAAAAGCAACGCCGGGTGAAGACCGGCATTTTCGCAAATCAATCAAACCCTAGGGGCTTACACCTCAATCTTCTCTCCACAAACAGCACACCCAACAGCCAGTGTGTGTTTCTCCTCTGGGGGATGAAAAAAGAGCGAAGAAGAACACAAAGCAAAAGTGAAAAAGGCAAAAAAGCAGACATTTTCCAGTTTCCCGCATCTACCCTTCCATGGATGCGAAGCTCTAATCATTTTTCCCCCTTCTCTTCCAGAAAGCATCCTTCAATCCTTTCTCTTCGACTTCCTGCGGTTCGTTTATTTCTTCATTTTTCGATACGATTTCTGTTCTTCTTTGTTTGATTAGGGGAAAAGAACTAGGACCCAGATCGATAATTTGTTTATTTATTATTCCGTCTTCCTTAGATCTACAAAAAAAATTTGGGGAATTTTTCTTTCCAGATTTGAAGCTGAGGTTTTGGTACTGAAGTTCGTGTACCACACAAGAAAATTGACAATGTGGATTCTTATTTTGAGATTCTTGGGTTAAAACAGAAAGGAAGTTCACTGTGGATCCAATTTGGCAAAGTCTGTGAGATTAAATGATGGAAGACTGGCCCAAGTATGCTCATAGCCCTGCCCATTTGGCGGTTGCGAGGCAAGATCATTCAGCTTTGAAGAAGATTGTTTCGAGCTTGCCTAAGCTAGCCAAGGCAGGGGAGGTAAAAACAGAGGCCGAATCTGTGGCCGCGGAGAACAATGCAGATGCTGTTTCTGCAGTGATAGACAGGCGAGATGTCCCTAACCGTGAGACTCCATTACATCTTGCGGTTAGGTTAAAGGACCCCATATCGGCTGAGATATTAATGGCAGCTGGTGCTGACTGGAGTCTTCAGAATGAACAGGGATGGAGTGCCCTTCAAGAGGCTGTGTGTACTAGGGAGGAGCACATTGCTATGATAATCGCACGGCATTACCAGCCTCTTGCCTGGGCAAAATGGTGTCGTAGGCTTCCTAGGATTATTGCTTCCACAGCCCGGATTCGTGACTTTTACATGGAGATATCCTTTCATTTTGAGAGCTCTGTCATACCCTTCATTGGTAGGATCGCGCCCTCAGATACTTACCGGATATGGAAACGGGGATCCAATCTCCGTGCAGACATGACCCTTGCGGGATTTGACGGGTTTCGGATTCAGCGGTCAGATCAAACGTTTCTCTTCCTCGGAGAAGGTAATGCTGAATATATTCATGAAACTATATCCCTGTTTACGTACTAGGATTAGCCCAACATTGGTGTGTATGTGTGTGTATATATTGTAATGGTTTCACATGGAGAAAACACAGTAATACTATCTACCCTTATTTCAACATGGTATTCAAGCATGGTCTATTACTGGTTTGTCTCATTTGGCTTGGGCTGAAGGCATGTTGAGTGTCATACATTGATTGTCTATTGAGTTTTATTCTAGTATTCAAGTGTGTGTGTGTGTGTTTCTTGTAACGGTTTCACATAGAGAAAGTATAATAACTTTCTATATGTCAACAGGTAATACATCTTTGTCCCCAGGATCACTGATTGTGCTCGCGCACAAGGAGAAAGAAATAACTAATGCATTAGAGGGAGCTGGAATTCAACCAACAGAATCCGAAGTGGCCCGCGAAGTGGCTTTGATGTCTCAAACAAACATGTATAGACCCGGTATCGATGTCACACAGGCTCAA